TTAAATTAAGACTGGTCCCTTTTTCTCTATTGCGGTTAGCAAATAGATGAAAATTTATGGTACAATATGACAAAATAAATAATATATTTGGTTACAAATATTTGCAAATAAGCAAAGCATAAATTTGTATGAAAATTGACGTAGTTAAAATGAGAAAAAATAAATGTAATAAGAACATTACATACTTTTTAACATTAATCGTTTTGCGTCGTTTGTACTTTCCTATTCAGTTAAATATATAAAATCAGTTAAATATATAAAAATTTAAATAAAAAATATTGTTTTAAAATACAAATTATTAATATTTATATTAAAATTTGTAATTTCAAATATTTGTATTATTTGTTTGACTGTTAAAAAAGTTATGCCAAACACTAGTTATGAATCCCAATAAAGCGAATCCCAATAAAGGGTGCATTATCTTGACACATGTATTGGGAACTCTGTGGGTTTGAGTCTTTACGCTAAAAAATTACTAGTCATGTTATTTCTGTTGCATTTTTGGCCACTTTGAAGAAGATTCGCCAGCTGATGTCTATTTAGTTGACTACTGATCGACTCTGGAATGAAGTGATGATTCTTAGTTTCATCCATTGCTACATAATGGTTCAAAAACTCATTTTATCTTACATCAGCAGCTCCAAAAATGTCTCAAAAGCATTTACACGTTGTTGGTTTTGATTAACTGTCAGCAAGTGCGGCACCAACTTTGAAAAGAGCTCTCTCACAAATTGAAGTCGACTCGTTTCTTTAAAATCTTTAAGCTGTCAGTTATGTTCGGAAACTTTAACTCACAGTTTACCAAAAGGATTTTCTGAGCTTTATCCCGTGTCATTAAGTCTTTTCGGCGTCATCGGTATTTATACGACCGAGTGTAAGATCAATCGATTACTTCCTTCATTATTTTGATGGCCAAGAGTCTGCGTAGTACCAATGAAACCAAGTTTTTGTTGACACAGTTTTTTTTTATCAAACAGCAGTAATAAATCATGACACAAAATTATTTCAGTTCATCTATATACATAAAAGAAAGTCGTGTTAGTTAGACCACTTATAACTCAAGAACGGCTGTACCGATTTTAATTATCTTCGATTTGTTAGAATCGTCTTCGCTCCGAATAGCAGAATACATTATAAAATATTGGAAAAATCCACTAATTTTAGCAAAAATAATATATTTGTAAATGCTGTTTCAAACTGTTGACAGTTCGACAGTTTGAGTGATATTGATTTCTTTTTAAATTTTTTTTTCAAATATTTAAAATTTCAAATATAATAAATTCAAATATAATAAATAAATATGAGCTGAAAGTATTGATGTTTGTTTTGTGCGAGTGCCAGATTCACCATCATATTGTATCATTGCAACCTGTTGAAGATGCACAACATAAATTCTTGCCAATATACTTGATGGGCAATATGAAGGAACAACTTGAACGGCGTCAAGAGATCAACACAGCAATGAAAATAGCAATTCTTCAAGATCTGCAGCAACTACTTCATGAACATCATGCATTGGTCAGGCTGTTCAAGACACCGTTGGAGCGCATGCCACATGATAACTACAAAGTTGTGATCAGAGCGGATAAACGACCAGAAGAAACACATGAACGCAAATTTAACGCTCCAACAATAGGTGAAGTTGCAATCCTGATCGTTGGAGAAATCTTGAACACACGCGATATTGTACTTACACGTCGCGATACTGGGCAACTGCAACAAGTATGTGAAACACACCGTTCATATGACACGTTGCAATACCCACTGATATTGGCAAGAAGAAGAGAATATCACTCAATATAAAATGATAAACCCATTGAATGGTGGGATCAACATCATAGTTTTCAATTCAGAATACAGACGTGAGTCTTACTTCTAAGATACTAATTTTACTGTTTTTAAATCAGATGAGGAAACTACCAAGAAAATTAGTTCGTGTAATCCAAAAAGGGAAGAAATTGTTCAAATGCTGCTACCTGGACAGACATCAAGTGATCGGCACGACATCACTGCACGTGTATTCAAGCACAAAATTCGATCGCTGATGAATCTAAAATTTAATATAACATTCATTGACTGTTACGCGGTACGAAGTTCGCGAGGTCACCTAGTTCTAAATATAAATAAAAATATAAACAATAGTGTCACTAAAGCAGCTGTAACTAAATAAGAAATAGTTCATATGTCATGAAATTTCAACAGATCTCATGTAAAAGTTGTGAGTTGTCACTTTTTAAAAATTGTATAGTTTTTTCATTAGTGAAGCTGTCAGTATCTCATTTTAAGAACTTAACAGGCAATA